GCCTCCTGCATGCCCCCACACTGGGGATCACGCCCACAACCCGGGCATGTGCCCTGACTGGGAATCGAACCGTGACCTCCTGGTTCATAGGTCAACACTCAACTACTGAGCCACACCGGCCAGGTGATTGCTCTGTCTTTTGAGAGAGGCGATTTCGTGGTCCTCTACAATGTGAAATGTACATAGCTCTCAGTTCCATTCACATGCTCCAGGCCCACTCCTTATTCCCTCAGAGTAATGAGTCCCCGCCTCTTTCCAGCATGGTGCCAGGCCCGGGAGGTACAACAAGCCGCCAGGCCTCCAGGCCTGAGAAAGGCCAGGCCCAGATCTGACCGCATTCCTTCCACCACACACTCTGCGAGCCCAAACCAGTCGCAGGCAGCCTGCGCTCATGCAGGGTGGGGAGGCTTCTAGGTCCCGTGGGAACAAGCGGCCTGTGGGGACAGGAATAGGTGGAACTTGGCAGCTATGTTTTCAGACAACTACCACGCAGGTAGTTAGAGTAAAGCATATTCCTCCATGTACCTTTTCCGTGGCATCTCTTAAGTGCTTTGTGTTTATATACATTTCTAAGTTTTTCATTGTTTTGGCCCATCTTTCCTCCCTTAACTAGGCCAGGTGCCTAGGCACCGATTCTGGTTTTTTGTTTTGCAACTTTTTTGGTACGTGGATGAGTTACATAAACACCGAAAACCCCCACCACAGTAAAGGCTGCCCACAGTTTCAGTTTTGTAAACCCTGGTGTTGTGTTATTGGGAAGTCAGTTAAAAAGCAGTGTTTGATCAGTAGGTGGTAATTGTCATAAAACTATACCGAAACCGGTTTGGCTCAGTGGATAGAGCGTCGGCCTGCGGACTGGAGGGTCCCAGGTTCGATTCTGGTCAAGGGCATGTACCTGGGTTGCGGGCACATCCCCAGTGGGAGATGTGCAGGAGGCAGCTGGTCGATGTTTCTCTCTCATCGATGTTTCTAACTCTCTATCTCTCTCTCCCTTCCTCTCTGTAAAAAGTCAATAAAATATATTTTTTAAAAAAAACAAAACAAAACAAAAAAAAAAAACTAAAGATTGTTTAACTTCCACTGTGCACAGCTGAACTGAGAAGGTCTCAGGATCCCAAGGCAGTTGCTTAGAGACACACACACACACACACACACACACACACATACACATGCACGTGTCTATTAACAGTTTAATAGATTTAATGAATTTTAATTCAGTCTGAAAATGATGCTAAATAGCCTGAAAGAACACAGTAGCCAGACTCCAATCATGCTACAGCCGAATTCACATTGTTAGGGTGCATATTATTTTGTCAGTATCTATCTATATAAAAGCCTAAGCAATTGTTATGACCCGTTGACTGGTCGCTATGATGCGCACTGACCACCAGGGGGCAGATGCTTAATGCAAAAGCTGCCCTCTGGTGGTCAGTGCTCTCCCAACCTCCCGTGGCTGACCAACCTCCCACTGTCCCTCACCCCGGCTGGCCGGCCCCAATCAGCCCCAGTGGGGACTAAACGAGATGGCCCTGATGGCCCCAATCGCCGGCCAGGCCGAGGGACCCCACCCATGCACGAATTCGTGCACCAGGCCTCTAGTCTCTTATAAATGCCTTCATCTGCTTTCCTAACGCCATGGTTTCTGCTCTGAGATTTGGACCTGTGGTCAGTGGCTTCATGTTGGCAAGTGGCTTCATGTTCTTGGGTCTTAAAAGACTCTTCCCTCTCCTCCCCATCCCCAAAGAGGAAGCTCCTCTGGGAACTGACTTGCTTTAGGTGATAGCTTCACATCTCTTAAGTTTGTGTAGATTTAATGAATTACCAAAAAAAAAAAAAAAAAAAGGAGTAAACCAGGTTTAATTTAAGAAGAGTTTCTAGCCCTGGTCGGTTTGGCTCAGTGGATAGAGCGTCAGCCTGCGGACTCAAGGGTCCCAGGTTCAATTCTGGTCAAGGGCATGTACCTTGGTTGTGGGCACGTCCCCAATGGGGAATGTGCAGGAGGCAGCTGATCGATGTTTCTAACTCTCTATCCCTCTCCCTTTCTCTCTGTAAAAAATCAATAAAATATATTTTTTTTTAAAAAGAAGAGTTTCTAGGCCCAGCTGGCACGGTTCAGTGGTTGAACATCAACCTATGAACCAGGAGGTTACAGTTAGATTCCCAGTCAAGGCAGATGCCCAGGTTTCGGGCTTGATCCCCAGTGGGGGATGTGCAGGAGGCAGCCAATCAGTGATTCTTTCTCATCATTGATGTTTGTCTCTCTCTGTCCCTCTCCCTTCCTCTCTGAAAACAATAAAAAAAATATATGTATATAAATACAATTTTTTTAAAGAAGGAATTCTGGGACCATCTGGCCTGATGGAAGTGATGCCATGAATTGACAGATAGGTTAAGGTAAACTGTTAATAGAATGCTCACCACTGGGATACAATGCAGAGATGAAGGATTGGTGTCATTACCGTTTTATGATATAGGGATCTAGTTTATATAAAACATAAACCCTGCTCTACCCAGTTTGGCTCAGTGGATAGAGCATCAGCCTGCGGACTCAAGGATCCCAGGTTCGATTCCGGTCAAGGGCATGTACCTTGGTTGCGGGCACATCCCCAGTAGGGGGTGTGCAGGAGGCAGCTGATTGATGTTTCTAACTCTCTATCCCTCTCCCTTCCTCTCTGTAAAAAATCAATAAAATATATATTTTTTTAAAAAAAACCATAAACCCTGACCAGCCATCATGCTTGGGCTCAAAGCTGCAGAAGAGAAACCAGTAGCCGTTTCAGTAAATGGGATCCTCTTGCACTGTGGTTGTGAAATGTAAACATTTCCTAAAAGCCATGTGGAGTGTCTCGTTTTCCCAGTCATTAGCTTGTGGGTTTTGAGCTTCCTACCCAAGGACCAGTCACTCCAAATTTTCACGAAGGATGGTTGTTAAGGTGGCGTCATGCCTTGCGTAGGCTCAGCAGCCTTTATCCTTCAACAGTTCAACCAACATTTACATTGCTCTGCCCTTCCAGCGCATTCTGTGGGGCTTACAATGCCCTCCCACCCCCCACACAGACGCTCCAGGCACTCACAGGCTCTTAGAAGAGTTTGCAGCCCTTCCCAGTGTAACAGAGCAGGTTTGGTGAAAGGAGTAACCGCTGCAGCCGTGGACTGTGGTGTTAGGGGAGCGAAGAAGCGAGCATTAGTGAGTGTGGGCTGTGTGCTACTGCTTTATGTACATTCGCTCACTTGATAAGGAGGCTGACCCTGTCATGTAGCACTTGTTTTTTTAAAAATATATTTTATTGATATTTTTACAGAGAGGAAGGGAGAGGGATAGAGAGTTAGAAACATCGATGAGAGAGAAACATCGATCAGCTGCCTCCTGAACACTCCCTACTGGGGATGTGCCCGAAACCAAAGTATATGCCCTTGACTGGAATCGAACCTGCGACCCTTCAGTCCATAGGCCGACGCTCTATCCACTGAGCCAAACCGGTCAGGGCAGCACTTGTTTATGATGTATCACTTGCTTTCTTTTTATTCTACGTTATGGAAATAACATATGTTGAATTTCTGAACACCCTAAATTTGAAATCCCGTCCAGGTAAGCATGTCCTGGCTGATTTCTAAAGCTAATCTGATGCAGGATGTATTAATAAATGGGGGAGGGGGTAAATCATGGCATGGATGTAAGGTTTTAAAAAATCACATTTATGTTTAGTGTACAGAATTTGTCCGGAAAAATCTTAAATCGTTTTAAAGACTTTTGCTCAAAGGTTTTTGAGAGCATTATTCAAGGAATGTGGAGAAAATTGACCTCTCGTCTCCTTCTCTCTTAGATACATTCCGCCGCTGATCTGGGGGAAAAGTGGACACATCCAAACAGCTTTGTATGGGAAGATGGGCAGGGTGAGGTCGCCACACCCGTATGGGCACCGGAAGTTCATCACCATGTCCGATGGCGCCACTTCGACCTTCGACCTCTTCGAGCCCTTGGCCGAGCATTGTGTTGGAGGTGAGCGAGTGTAGGTCGTAGGATCGGGCCATCACTCGGAGAAGGAGCACTCGTCAGTGAGGGAGCACAGTGTGCACACACACTCCTGCTACCGCTCTTACCAGGCATCGCATCCAGGGCCTGGTAAGAAATCTGCTGAGGCCGAAACCGGTTTGGCTCAGTGGATAGAGCGTCGGCCTGCGGACTGAAAGGTCCCAGGTTCGATTCCAGTCAAGGGCATGTACCTGGGTTGTGGGCACATCCCCAGTAGGAGATGTGTAGGAGGCAGCTGATCGATGTTTCTCCCTCATCGATGTTTCTAACTCTCTATCCCTCTCCCTTCCTCTCTGTAAAAAAAATCAATAAAATATATTTAAAAAAAAAAAGAAATCTGCTGAGATACATCACGTGGGAGCACCTGGCAAGGCTTAGGTCCGCCTGGGGCCGGTCACCATGTAGTTTCTAATCCTCTTGTGAGAGACAGAAGCTTGGTGCAAAGGGATGAGGGAGAACTCGGAGCCCAGGCTCCCGAGGACCAGGCCTCTGGCTTGATGACAGCAGCAGAAGCCGAGCTGTCGTACGTGCTTTATATGTGCTGTCATCTCATTTAATCCTCAGCAGGTGGGAGCCTTATGGTCCCTACGTTACTGATGGCGGAGCTGAAGCTTAGAGACGCAGTGTAGGCTGGTTGTGTTGGTTGGAAAGCAGCAGATAGAGGCTCCCAGGTACCCCTTAGGTTTCCATGCACAAAAAGACACATTAAGGTCTATGTATCAGGCAGGGGCCTGGGATGCCTGTTTCTCACAGACTCCTCATTTCCATTGCTCTGTCCAGCTGCACAATGAATACTCATAAAATGCTTCACTGTGAGGGCTTGGAGGAAGTGGATTAGATGGCAGCCCCATCTGAATGCCATTCCGACCGGAAGAGAACATGTCTTTTGAGTTCTGTAGTGTGCAGAGGCACCCAGTTTTGTTTTATAAAAGCGCGAGCAATATTTATGGGTGGCCTGGCAGGCGTGGCTCAGTGGTTGAGCATCAACCTATGAACCAGGAGGTCACAGTTCAATTCCCGGTCAGGGCACATGCCCGGGTTGCGGGCTCGATCCCCAGTAGGGGGCGTGCAGGAGGCAGCCGATCCATGATTCTCATCATGGATGTTACTCTTTCTCCCTCTCCCTTCCTCTCTGAAAACAATAAAAATATACTTTTAAAAAATGTATGGGTGGATTAAACACACTATAACTCTCAGTTACTTAAAGTAAAAGAACTGCTGAGTAGCTAGCGACGAAGGGTTACTTTATGTTCCCTCTGTCTGGAAGGCTCGTCGCCAGACTTGCACGTGGCTGCCTCCTTTTGTCATTCAGGTCTCAGCTCCGATGCCCCCTCCTCCGAGGCACGGTCCCTGCCTCCCCTAATGAGTGTTTCCTTCCCAGGAAATCCCTCATGCCTTCCCGCGTCAGTGCTGGAGGGTACCTGCCGCTCTCTAAGCTTATTTGTGTGGTTGTTTATTATCTGTCTGCCGGAACGTAAGACGCCCCAGAGTCCAGACAGCAGATTCCCAATAAACAGTCCCAGAAGGAATGAATAAATGATAGGTTAGGAGTTCACCTTGTGTTTATAATCTCCCAGCTGATCTTTCAAATATTTATGTCTCTGCCATGCCCAGTGACATATTTTTTCTCTTGTTTCTAATACTCCTACTTCTACCAAGAAAGCACCAAATGTAATTTAACCAGCCTGCTCCTTCCCCCTGGACGGAGGTGGAAAGTGGAAAAGGGAAACACTTAGATTCTTTGCTTTACTCATTCATGTCCTTCTATCACCCCTGTCCCCACAAGGGGTGGATGGTGGTGGGTCTGGGGAAGAGAGAATTCCCATCCAAGAAATGCTCTAAGAAAAACAGCCCATTTTTCCTTTTATGATTTGTTTCTGATTTTTATCTACAAAAGGAATAAATACTCATTTTAGAAAGTTTAGATAATACAGAAACTTTTTTTTTTGAGAGAGAGATTGGAAGGGAAGGGGAGCAGACAAAGAGAGAAAACATCAATGTGAGAGAGGCACATCAATTGGTTGGCTCCCACACGTGCCCCGACTAGAGCCAGGGATCAAGCCTGTAACCGAGGTATGTGCCCTTGACTGGGAATCGAACCCGTGACCCTCAGTCCAAGGGCTGATGCTGTTAATCACTGAGCAAAACCGACTAGAGCAATACAGACACATTTTTGAAAGAGAGCACGAATCACCTATAATCCCACCACCCAGCATACCATTGTTAACATTTTTTTATTTATTCCCATTCTGTACATTGTTTTTCCAAAATTTGAATTAGTAGACATTATAAGTATTTTCTCTTGTCACTAGAAGTCTACACTGTACATTCATTGTTTGGCAAATGTACAAGTGTATTTTAGGATGAATACCTGCAAGAAAAGCTGTTGGATCAAAGAGGTCTGTGCAAACCATTCGATCATTTGTTCATTCATACAGAATTTCGTACAGAAATTAAGAGTAATGTTCAGCCCTAACTGGTTTGGCTCAGTGGATAGAGCGTTGGCTTGCGGACTGAAAGGTCCCAGGTTCGATTCCAGTCAAGGGCACATGCCCGGGCTGCAGGCTTGATCCCCAGTGGGGGACGTGCAGGAGGCAGCCAATCAATGATTCTCCCTCTCATCATTGATGCTTCTATCTCTCTCTCCCTCTCCCTTCCTCTCTGAAATCAATAAAAATACATATTTTTTTAAAAAAGTAATGTTCAGAAACTTGTTTAGCAACTTGGCAGAATAGTCTTATATCTGTTGAGTCTAATAATAAAAAATTGAGATTTATATGTGGAGTTTTTCTCTCACTTCATTTTTCTAGTAAACAATTTTTATTGTATATTTCAAAAGTATTAGCTTGTGGGTTTTGAGCTTCCTACCCAAGGACCAGTCACTCCATGTTTTCACGAAGGACGGTTGTTAAGGTGGCGTCATGCCTTGCGTAGGCTCACCAGCCTTTATCCTTCAACAGTTCAACCAACATTTACATTGCTCTGCCCTTGCAGCGCATTCTGTGGGGCTTACAATGCCCTCCCACCCCCGACACAGACGCCCCAGGCACTCACAGGCTCTTAGAAGAGTTTGCAGCCCTTCCCAGTGTAACAGAGCAGGTTTGGTGAAAGGAGTAACCACTGCAGCTGTGGACTGTGGTGTTAGGGGAGCGAAGAAGTGAGCATTAGTGAGTGTGGGCTGTGTGCTACTGCTTTATGTACATTTGCTCATTTGATAAGGAGGCTGACCCTGTCACGTAGCACTTGTTTTTTAAAAAATATATTTTATTGATATTTTTACAGAGAGGAAGGGAGAAGGATGGAGAGTTAGAAACATCGATGAGAGAGAAACATCGACCAGCTGCCTCCTGCACACTCCCTACTGGGGATGTGCCCGCAACCAAAGTACATGCCCTTGACTGGAATCGAACCTGCGACCCTTCAGTCCGTAGGCCGACGCTCTATCCACTGAGCCAAACCGGGTCAGGGCAGCACTTGTTTATAATGTATCCCTTGCTTTCTTTTTATTCTACGTTATGGAAATAACATACGTTGAATTACTGAACACCCTAAATTTGAAATCCCGTCCAGGTAAGCATGTCCTGGCTGAATTCTAAAGCTAATCTGATGCAGGATG